CTAACCAATTGACAATGTTTGATCCTAGAGGCAATAGGGAGCCACTGGAGTTGGTTGAGTGGAGGAATGGCATGGTCAGATATGCACTTAAGGAAAATTGCTTTGGCATTATTACTGATAGGCTGAAGTGGTGAGGGACTTTAGGAAAGAGACTAATTAGATGTCGATTGGAATTATCTAGATGAGAGGTGATGAGGATCTGCTCTAAGGTGATAACTATGTGAGAAGAGAGAAGAGGTCAGCCCGTGACAGATGTTGTGGAGGTAGAAATGGCAAGATTTGGCCATATGTGAAATATGTGAGATATGTGAAATATGTGAGATATATGACGAGCTGAGGATGGTGGAAGTATTATGAGCCTGGGAGACTAAAAGAGGAATGAATTTTTTTGGGAAAGTTAATGAATTCTGCTTGATGTGTTGAGTTTGAGATGTCTTCAGCACAGCCAGTTTGAAATGTCCCATCGACAACTGCTGATGCAAGATTGAAGCTTGGGAAATTCTGGGACTAAATGTATAGATCTTGGAGTCATCTTCATAGAGATGACAATTGAGCCTGTGGGAGTTGATGAGACTATGAAGAGTAAAGAAGGAAAGGGGAGAGGGAACAGAATCATGTGGAACGTTCACAGTTAGGGGGCATCAGGTCAGATAAGCTAGCAAAGATAACTAAGAATTAGAAGTCAGATGGATAGGAAGCAAACCAGGAGAAGGTAGTGCCTATCGATGAAACTGTAGAGAGGAGAGAGCATCTAGGAGGAGAGGTTAATGATGTCAAATACAGCAGATAGGTCAAGAACCATGAGAAAAGAAAACAGACAATCAGGTTTGGCAATGAATAGATTATTGGTTTATTTGGAGAGCAGTTTCAGTCATGTGATGAGGTTAAAAGCTGGTATTCTCCTGGTCTACCGGTCTAGTAACTTTTGTTCTAGGGAGTATGCCACAGAAAACGCAGATACTCTTAGGGAGTAGAAAACATGCCTGATCTGATTGAAAACTTGCTTTAAGGCTTATAAGACAATTTCCTAATATCATCTAGGAGGTAGGTAGCACAAATATTATAAACACTTAAAATTCTTATTTTATTTTATTTTTTACCAAAGATCAAACTGAGATTCACAGAAGTTGGATGATTTTCCCAAGATCATAAAATGAATAGGTAGTAGAACTGAGATTTGAACCCAGGTCTCCTGACTTCAGGTCCAGAGCTTTTTCTATACCTGGGATAACATTATGTTGCCCTCTGATGCTTAAATATCATAATCCTCTGCTAGAGGACTGTACTGAGGAATAAGCATAATGTTCCTAAATAACTGTAGGATCATTAGGAATCAGAAGTGTGATGAAGCAATTAAAAAAGTTAATGAAATCTTGGACTGCATTAAATGAGATGGGGCTTTCAGGAATAAGGAGGTCATAGTCCCTCTGTACTCTGCCCTAGTCAGACTACATTTAGATCATCGTGTATGTCTCAGGGCACCATGGTTGATAAACTGGAGAGTGTCCAGAGGGAGGCAGCCAGGATACTTAAGGACCTTGAGTCCATGTCATGTGAAGATGAGTTGAAGAAACAACAAATTTAAACTGGGAAAAAGAAGATGCAGGAGGCTCATGAGAGCTATCTTCAAGGAACTGAAGAGCTGTCTTGTGAAGGAGACATTAGATTTGTTCTGTTTGACATCAGAAGGCAGGAGGAGGAATGGGTGAAAGTTGCAGAGGCCGATTTGACTTCCCAACATTGAGAGCTGTTCAAATGTGAAATGGGTTGCCTTAGGAGGTGACAGCTATTTTAAAGTGGGAATTCCTTTCTGGTATTGGTTGGTCTTGAAAATAATTATTGAAGTTCCATCTAATCTTCAGATTCCATGATTCTGTGGCACAGTAAGAGATAAATACTTTTGTTCCAGTGGGGAATGGGTTGCCGTGGAATCGTTATTCCATGTTGTTTTTGAAGAGGACCAATGACATCATGATGTTGGGGTCAGGGCCCAGTGTGCTTGAATATGTCCGATTAGCCCAGTATGAGTTTGGAAAGCTCTACCCCAGGCTGGACACAAGTAGTCCATTAGAACGTTTGGGATGGAGATGTCTCTAGATAGGCACAGCTTGCATTTCCTTTGTGCTGCTGTGATTCTGCTTTGCTCACAAAGTACAGTGCTTTCTTTGATGCGGGCACACCATGCTAGATGGTCCTGTAACAGGACATCTCCCATGTCTCTCAACTGACACTAAAGTTCTTCAGAGACACCTTGATAATGTCTTTGTATCACTTCTTCTGACCTCTGTGGGAGCGCTCGCCTTGTGAGAGTTCTCCATCAAATAGTTTTTTAGGTAAGCATGAGTTTGGCATTTAAACTATATGTACTGCCCTTTGCAGTTGCACTCTCTGCAGCAGAGCTTAAATGCTTGGCAGGTCAGCTTGAGAAAGGACCTCAGTGTCTGGTATCTTCTCATGCCAAGTGATTTTCAGAATCTTCCTAAGACAATTCAAGTGGAAGTGGGTTAGTTTTCTGGTCATGTAATAGAGCTAGACAAAAGGGGACCTGCCTGGGAATACGGTTAACAGCAGATCTCAGGAAGATCCCACAAGGCCCAAAGTAAAGTCTATGGAGGTTATTAATATAACTCTCCAAGGAGTCTAGAATCTAGCTACCATTACCTATGTGCCGTCCCTCAAATGTAGGGCACTCTGTATCCCATTTCCCTGACTTTGCCCTAGTTGGCCCCCCCCCGGAATGCCTTGCTCCCTCACCGTTGTTTCTTGGCATCCCTGGCTTCCTTCAAGACTCAGATCAAATTCCACCTTATGCAGGAGGTTTTCCTGTCTCTTCCAGTGGCTAGAACCTTACTCCTTCAGCTTAGCTACCATCTACAACTTCTAATTAAGTAGTTATTTAAATGTCATATCGTCTATTAGAAAATGTAAGCTTCCTGGGGCCAGGGATAATCTCTACACTTCTTTTCATCTTTGGTGCTTATGAGGCACAGTGTGCCACAGTGCGCCACAGAGCATTTAATAAATGCTTGCTGATTGACTAGATGTCTAGGCAGGGATGGTCCAGGGTCAAACCAATGAGAATCAGCCCATCAAGATTAACTACTGCCACACTACCTATAGGGGCAAGGATAAAGTTCACAGGATTGATGAAGTCTGGTCTTAAGTCTGAGAAAATGTACTTACTTGTCTTCTGCCCTGTTTCATACCTATTGTTGGGTGTGGGAGGTTCTGGGCTTGCAGGTGTGGATCATACTCAGGAGGCAGGCAGAGACTTCCATTTGGACCTTGACCTCGATTGAATCAAGGATCCAGAGGGTGGGAATTATTTCACCATCAGGATAGAATTAAAGGAAAGGGATTGGACTCACAGAAAGACCTAAAGCACACACATGATAAGGTGATTTTCACTGGAGTTTTCCAATAGAATAAAAGATGTGACATCTGGTTTTCTGGTTGTCTACCAATCGGGCAAATTTTGAAACCAGAATTTCACAACATTTGCCAAGCAAATATTCAATTTGGCAACCAATGAGGAGGCCCATGTATGTCTGCTATAGAAGGTAGATAAGTAGGCCTAGGGTTACTAGGAGGTTATTATTTATAATTCCTGGGGGAGGGAAATTCACTCTCTGGTCCAAGAGCTTATGTAAAATCATTGCATTTTCATTCAGCTCAATCCTACAAACATTACTGAGTGCCTACTACGTGTAGGTGACTGGTAAGTGCTGGGGAGACAGACAGAAAGAACAATCTCAACTCTCAGGAGAAGACCACAAAAGGTAAATAGATAATTTGAGGCAAGGAGAGCATTTAGAAGTAGAGGACTGGACCTGAAGGAAACCAAGGATTCCAAGAAGGATAAGTGAGGATGCTCATTCCCCTGGCTTCCAGCTGTGAAGGATGAAGCCTTTGTAAAGGCATGGGAAGCTGAACTGGAGGTACAGCAAGTGGAAGGTGGCGCCTCTGACAGGAAGGAATGTGAACTGAGTCTGATTGATAGGTGGTTAGCAAAACAGGGTTTTACTCACTTTGAGCCTAAGTAATTCCACCCTGATTTCTGTAGGACTGTTTTCATTTTCTGGAAAACAAAAAACCAAAAAATAGTATAATAAAGTTTTTGTGGGAAAACTTCCTGTACTGGGCATCCTGTTTAAATGAATTTTTCTTTTTATAGTTAATTACTGTTTCTGTCATCTGTATCCTGTTTTGTCTATGCCATGAGATCACCTGTATCTTGTTAAAGCAGATGTTTCTTGACAATGAGTTTGTTGTTTTGTACTCCCATGTATTCTTATAAACATTCTCTTTGATTTTTGTTGCATTTCTGTATTAAAGGAGCCCTATAGGAAAATGGGGTTGAATTGGTACTCAGAATTTTCTCTTTCTGTTCAACTTCCTTGCCTTACAAGTAAAGAATCTATTTACTAATGACTTTATTTTGGCAACTTTCTTTCAGGAACAAAACATTTATTAAGTACTTACTGTGTGCCAGACACTCTATTAAAAGCTAGGGCTACAGATACAAGCAAGCAAGAGGGTCTCTGCCCTGAAGGAGCTTACATTCTAAAGGGGGAAGGTAACACATAAAGTGTTGTTGGGAGGAGAGGGCATGTAATGGCATGGAATTTGGAGGATGGTCTGGAAAGAGAAGGTAAAAATTCACTTCTCGGTTCCTGGGGACCAAGTCAGATTTTTTGTGGGAAGGAAATGAGGATGATGGCCGGAGAGCAAAAAAGAATGAGTTGAATGGGTATGAAGGGAGGTTGACAAGTACTCAAGTTCAGGAAATCTTCTCGATCCTCTTAACAAGGTATTATCTGGCATCCACCCCTACCGTCTCACTGCACATTCCCAGTGAGATTCAATTCCAGAAAAAGGCTCACCTCCATCAAGATTATGTGATTGACGGAGATGGTCTTGTCTTCTCCAGTTATCTAGCCCTCCCAATGAGCCTTCTACATGGAAAAACTCACACCTTGAATTATATTTCTCTTGATTAGCTGACAACAGCCAAAGACCCTAAACTGGACTTTGAAACAGTGGCTTTCTACACTCTGCCCAGGACAGTGGAGGCAAGTCAGCATCTCAGACCGTTTTAATCCAGATTGTGGATGTCAATGAACCACCACCATTCATTGGATCACTTGCCCAAGTTGACCAAGGTATAGAGGGTTATTTATTTTCTAAAATGCATCTGAAGGATTCTGTTTATGCATAAGCACACACCCATATCAAGCACTGATCCCAGGCCAAACACTGGGATTATCCTGTGTTTGATATTATCTATACTTTTGCTCTCCTTATTTATGGAAGTAATTTGGATGCCACATTCTTTGCATTTGTGACCCCAGGGCTATTTATTCAGGATCTAGTTTGTAGACATTAGCTTTTCTTGCTTTTCTTCTTTGTGATCAAAGAGACACCTACCCAGTCAGCCAGCCACTAATATTTATCCCCTGCCAAGACACTCACTAGCCACAATCTCAAAGGCAGAGTGGGTAGGTTTTTCCCTGAGTGACAGAATCTCAGAGTAGAAAGAGAGTGAATTGGTAATCCAGTCTAACCCATGCTTGAAAATCTACTACAGTGTATTTGATAGGTGATCATCTAGCCTGGCCTAGTTCTTTTTTAAGAAGTTTTCCCTTATAGAAATCTTACACTTTCCCTTTTGTTATTTCATTTATTGCTTCTAGTCCTGCCCTCCAGAGCCAAGCAGAACAAAGTTGATCCATCTTATCCATGACAACCCTTCAAATGCCTGAAAATAGATCTCATATCCTCCCTATGCCTTCTTTTCCGCCATGCTAACAATCCTCAGTTCCTTCAGATGATTCGTATATTTGCCCGATCTTAAAGGCCCATCATTATTGCCTTCTTCTTAGATATTCTCTATCTCATCTACTTGCTGCCTAAATGGTGATGTCCACATTAATAGCTAACTTATATATATATTATATATTTATATATGTTACATATAGCACCTTATATATATATTAGATAGCACCTTATATATATTAGATAGCACCTTACACATATATTATATATATATTATATAGCACCTTAAGGTTTGCAAAGCACTTTGCAAATATGACCTCATTTTATCCTCATAGCAGCCCTGGGAGGAAGGTGTTATTATTATCTCCATTTTATAGGGGAGGAAACTGAGGCAGGCTGAGGTTGCATGACTTATCCAGGGTCAAAGCTAGAAAGTGCCCAAGGCTGGATAATTTGAAGTCAAATCTTCCTGGCTCCTGGTCCCCCACTCTGTCCTTTCTGCCAGAATTAAACACTGCACTCCAGGCATAGTCCCAGCCCAGGATAGAAGGATGGCATTTCCCTATTCCTGGTTGTTTTGCCTCCAAAGGCCAGTTAAGATTGTTTCAGTTTCTTGGTTGTCAAGTTACATTTCCCAATTGCTAACGAAATAAGCTTGGGAGCAGATTATTATCAGTCTTCAGCTTTTAGCATGGAATGCTAGAGAATCGTTTGCGAATCAGACTGTAAATGGGATTAATAATGAAGTGCACCTTTCTCAATATTATAAAGTAATGAAGCTCACTTTCCTCCACTGAAAATGAATATGAGCTGTCATTTTTATCGAATTCCTTTGCAGAATACTTTCCTCAGATTGTACCAACATTGTGAAGTAGGGGGTCAAACCATTATTATCTTCACTTTATAGTTGAAAAAGGCCTGCAGAGGTTAATGACTTACCCAGGGTCACATAGCCAAGGCAGAATTCAAACTTAGGTCCCCTAACTCCATGTCTAGCCTTCTTTCCTCTATGCTAACTGGGCAGGTAGGTGGATAGGGTAGTGGACCTGGATCAGAAAGGTCTGAGTTCAAATGTGACCTTAGACACTTATTATCTATAATGTCTGTCTGCCTCAGTTTCCCCATCTGTAAAATGGTGATTATAACAATAGCAGCACCTACCTCCCAGGGTTGTTGTAGAGATTAAGTGAGATAATATATGTAAAGTTTTTTTTTGGCCAACATTAAAGCACTATAAATACGCTATTGTTGTTGTTAATATTATTATTCCCTAACTATCTTAGAAGGAAGAACAGAGGAATGAAGGGAAATGATGATAACTATAATTATTTCAGACTTACTGAATGATTTATGAAGTCCTTCCTTCCTAATGCATGGCAAGGCAACACAAGTATTATTATTCTTATTTTACAGGCGGACATGATTACTTCTCCAAGTGCTGCTGGATCATATAGTTAGTGGACCTGAGTTTAAATCCTAGCTCTGTCACATATGATTATATGACCTTGGGCAAATCATTTCCTTTCTCTTGTTCTCAGTTTCCTCAACTGTAAAAGAAGGAGGTTGGGCCAGATGACTTCTGATCATTGGTAATGTCGAGAGAGCAGTTTCAATGGAAGGATATGGTTGGAAGGCAGATTGCAAAGGACTTAGAAGAGAGTGAGAAAGAGAAAGTAGAGATGCCTGGTATGGAGGACTTTATCAACTTTGCATGCATTGTCAAAGAGTTCATTCTTTTTTTTTTTTTTTTTTTTGGCTAGGCAATGGGGTTAAGTGACTTGCCCAGAGTCACACAGCTAGTAAGTGTCAAGTGTTTGATCTGAGGCTGGATTTGAACTCAGGTCCTCCTGAATCCAGGGCCAGAGTTATATTCACTGTGCCACCAAGCTGCCCCCAAAGAGTTCATTCTTAAAGGAGAGACATAGGACCGTAGCTGGTGAAGATGACAGGCTCAAGTGAGGGGTTTTTAAGGATGGGAAAGGGGAGACTTTCCATAATTAATTCAGCAGATATTTAGTGAGCACTCATTTACTATGTAAAGTTCACTGTTAAGCAGTGAAAATGATAGATACAAAGGTGTATGAAATGAGTTCTTGCCCTCCTGGTCCTTGCAACTCTCAGGGGAGGTACGATAAGGACCCCAAAATTATAAAAGTAACAATAACAACTATCATTCATGTTTAGTGCTTTAAAGTTGGCAAAGCACTTTGTCAGAATTATCTCATTTGATCTTCATAAGAAACTTACGAGGCAGATACTGCAGATATTATTAACCCCATTTTACAGATGAGAGAACTGAGGCTTAAAGAGATTAAGTGATTTGCCCATGGTCCCACAAACTGGGGATTCAAACTCTATGTCCAACCCACTTACCAGGGCTGCCTTTCTTAAGATAGAGAAAGCATTCATTAAGTATTTACTATGTGGCAGGCTAAGGCTAGCAATCAAGACAATCCCTATCCCCAAGAAGCTGATGTTCTAATTTAGAAGACAGCACATAAAGAGGTGCTGACAAACTGAGGCTAAGGGGCAAAGGGGAAGCAGGAAAATATTGTAAGTACGTGGGAAATACCTAGCTAACCAGCAGAGCTCCCAGTGTACCTTACTGCCTTTCTAAAGCAGGAATATGTGTTAAGTACCTAAGAGAGACACAAACAGCTAGGGGGATTCAGGGAAAGGAGTGATTCCCTCTAGCTAGAGAACAATACCTTCGACTTTCACTAAGCTTTGCAGTTAACGAAGCAATTTTGCATGCATTATCTTATTTGATTTGCACACAATTCAGCAAGTCAGGCAAGGTATGTACCGTTATCCCTTTTTTACAGATGAAGAAATAGACCCTGAGAAGAGTCTAAGGCATTCAAAGTCAGCCCTAGAATCCTGGTCTTCTGTCTCTTAATCCAATGGTCTCTCCATTCGATACCACACTAGCTCCCCACTGAGTGTCAACAATGCCTTTAGCATTACCTAAAATGTACTTGGGTGCCATTCTCCTTTTTGAACTTAGAGTAGCTTGTGACACTGGACTCATGCTTGAATATTTTACCTCTCCTGGCAGTTACAGAGATTTATATTGCAGAGGACACTGCTGTAGGCACGAGCCTTTACAGAGTGAGAGCCAAGGACCCGGAGAATGCTGCCTTAAAGGTAATTTATGTTATTTGGGCTAAGAGCCATGAGACTGGTTTTTCCTATCCCAGGTTATATCCACACAATAAAGCAAAGGAGAAAATCAGTGCAATCATTCTGGCCCATTTAATTACAGGGCATTGTTGAGCCCTGACCTCTCTGAAAGATCGTCTGAGCTTGGCTACATTTCATTCTCTGTATAACAGACAGCTCCAAATGATAGTGATGGCTCTTTCTGTGACAAGATCTTAGCCCTTTTTTTATTTTGCTCTCTTGTCACCATGGCTGCACACAAACGCTTTTGTTTTCTGACAGCACTAATTATCCCTGTAGTACATGGAGACCTTAACTATTGGTTTTGTAATGGACCAGATACCTACATTTTCTCCTCCATCACCCCAACTCCTGCCCCATAAGTTAAGACATTAGCAGTCCAGCTAAACATTGAATTGTAGAAAAGTGTATTCATATGGTGGATGATGTTGTATTGATATGACATGTTTCCTATTTTCCCAGTTACTTGGACTTGGGATCTCTGAACCATCTCTGACCATTCCCTCTTCTTCATCTTCCATATCCAAGTTCTATTGGTTCTTCTTTTACAATATGTGTCTCCTGGAGCTCCCCTTCCATGCTTAGTGCTAAAACCGTGGTCCTCCATGAACTTCAGAGCTTTCTCACTTATTTCCTTGCCCCTAGTCTCTTCCTCTTCCATTCCAACCTCCACACCACTGCTGGATTACTTTACCTCATGCACAGGTCACTCTACTCCTCAAAAACCTTCAATGGCTCCCTATTTCCTGCTGAATAATTCCACATTTTTTCATCTAGCATTCAAGGTCTCCCTCCCTCTAGGGTTGAGAGGTGTCAAATACACAGCCTCGCCATTTTCCCAAGTGCTCTCCTAACCAGATTGGGAAATATTTCACAAAATAAATCTAATACAATAAAACAGACAATATTAACATGGGGGTTTCTAAGTCTCTCTGTAGCCTGCAGGGATCCTTGTATATGCTTTGATTGCTCCCATGTCTAGTTGAGTTGGACGTCATTGCTCTTTCCTCCAGGATAACTGGACTATTTACTGTTTCATGATCGTATCCCACCCTTTCCTTCCTCTCTACTAGCCCTTATGACCTTCCCGGTGCCTGGAGCGTCCCACTGTTCCCTTCCTCTCAATTTCTATCTTTTTAATTTTACTCCTTCTTTAAAACTGAAACCAAAAGTCCCTTCCTTCCTGAAGCCTACCCTGATCCTGCCCACCAGCTGGAGGAAGGAAGGCATATCACCTTCCTCAGAATTTCCACTTTGCATGGAGTAGAAATGTATGACGTATTCATATATACATGTTTACATTTATACAAGTGTATACATGTATGGTATGTGTATCTATAATGTTCTATTTTACTTTTTAGTTTACTTTTCTCATATCCTCTATGAGATTATAAACTTTGAGTGGGAAGAGACAATGTTTTCTTTATCTTTGAATCATTCATGGTGTCTGGTCCATTGAGATAGGGATTGGATCTGTGATGTGATTTTACTGGTATAGGGAACCTTAATCAGTCAGTCAGTCAATTAATATTTATTAAATGTCTACTTTGTGCCAAGGACTGTGCTAAGTGCTGGAGAAACAAAAAGAAGCAAAAGGCTGTCCCTGCTCTCAAGGAGCTTACAGTTCAATGGAAGAGACAACAAGCAAACAAATAAGTATAAATAGGCAGAACAAAGAAAAAACTTCTTCTACCAATGAAGGTCACCACTCTTTCTGTGACTCTGGTCTTAGGGAGCTGCCCAGAGCATTGAGAAGTTGAGTGACATGCCCAGGGTCACTCAGCCAGTAAACTAGATGTAAGAGGCAGGACTTGGGCCCAGGTTGAGTTCCTCATTTTGAGGCTAGCTCTCTAGCTACTTCTCGTCTAGTTTTTAGTAGGCACAGATGGAATGTTTGTTGAATGAATGAATGAATGATGGGATTTTCTTTTACCTGGTAGATGGATAGAACAAGATATCACATCAGTTTGTTAGCATTTGTTGTGATTGTTCATCAGTGCTAACAAGGACAACAAATATTTATCAAGCGTGGTATTTATTTAACAAAGTATGGTAATGGCCCAAGGCAGGTAGACAATATGGAGATGATTTCTGTCTTCCTTTGTTGTTGTTCATTATTTTTCTGTTGTGTTAGACTGTTTGTGATCCCATTTAGGGTCTTCTTGGCAAAGATACTGGAGCAGTTTGCCATTTCCTTCTCAAGCTCATTTTACAGATGAGGAAACTGAGGCAAACAGGGTTAAGTGACTTGCCCAGGGTCACACAGCTAGTAAGCTCTGAGGCTAGATTTGAACTCCTGAAAATGAGTCTTCCTGACTCCAGGCCTCTCACTCTATCCACTACACCATTTAACTGGTCCTCGTTACCATTTATCTCGTGCTGTTTTCCCTAAACTAAGAAATAAATACAGAAATTGTCTGTGTAGTCATATTATTACCAAAGCCAGTATTAGGCTAATGGAATTCATAGTTTCCCAGTAGTTGTACTGGAGATATATATCCATATATTGAAGATCCGTGTTTTCCTCCAGAGACAGCCAATGACATTAGAAGCCTCATCAATACTGGGTTTTTTTTTTAAGAGCACTGAATGAACTCTGGTAATTACATAAAGAAAGCATTTTGTCAGGCTCCCACACACAGTCTTTTTGCCCTCCTCCCAATAACTCAACACCCTATCTAAGAGAGAATTGGAAAGGTCACAGCTTCCTTTACAACATATAATTAAGTCGCCTAATCATGCATCTTGCACCAAATCAACACGTACGAGATAATAGTTTTGAACTCACCACCAGGCAGATCTACGTGCGTGCGACTCAGATGTCACATTTCAACTGCTCTTCTAGTGTTCTTGAGAATTATCTACTCCCTTGCCCTTTTCTCAAGGGAAAACTACATCATAGCCAAATAGGTAAACTTGTAATATAGCATGCAATAACAATGGTTTGCTAGCCAATTAATGGCCCCAACTCATTCTAGATGAAGGCCACCCCGTGTTTTCTCAGACTGATTCAGTGCTGCTGGTCGGAGCCCCTATATTTTACTCAAAAGTGGGTTGGCTTATGAACTCATGGATAGGAAGACTCACCCATCAAAACGTTCCTTAAAATTTTCACTAAGTGAGGAATGACTTCAGCAGTGACGAGAGCTATATGGAAGCCTGTATTTAATCACCCCTCAATACATCTAACCTAATTTTGTGAGTCAGAAACATAGTGTGGTTTCTTAGTAATGATTTTCTTCTCTTTAGGCCTTCATTTACTTTCTCTAATTAGCTGGTTCCAGTTTTGACCAATAACTTAGTCATGAGGGGCATTGGGGTGTATAGTTTTAAAAGCCCTTGTTGGGATCAGGAGCAGAGATTAACTAGTTATAACTGGTGAAAAATCTAACAGTTTTGGTACCTGGGGCAAATAGCCTTATATCAATTTTTTAAGACATATTCCATTACAGGAGGGACTCTAGGACACAAGGCTGATGAGGAGAGAGATCCTGGGACAATGTACTATAAAGAGCAAGACAGAGACCTTAGGATATCGGCCTGGGATACAGTGAGGGTGCAGCTGGGAAGTAGGAGTTGACAGCAGGGTAAGTGGACCGGAAGAGAAACTCCCCTGGGGTCTAAGATACCACTAGACTGAAGAGAAAGTGTGAAGAGGTAGAATCATCCGGTAGATTCAGATTTAACCTTTCTTGTTAATCTCAGTTGTTTCTGTATCACTGAACACTTTTAATTGTCGTGAGCCTTCAAGAGTTTAGTGCCCTGGGATGATGGTACGACTGCCCCACCTTAGTTGTAACTTTGGCAAGGAGCTTTGGGTTTGAGTGCAGGGTCTGGTGCTTATCAGTCATGTGTTTATGCAATTCGCCTCACTTCCTTTTATGCCTTACGGATGCTTAGATCATGAGATCCCATCTGTTATTTTTCAAAATTGTGCCATTTTCCCTTAAACTGGGGAAAAAAATAGACTTTGTCCATGTAGTAAAAAAAAAAAAAGACTTTGTCCGTGTGGTTGCATTATTACCAAAAGGTGTGAAATCCTGGGTCTTCAGAGTTTTCCAATAATAGTGATGGACCCTTATTCAGGACAATTAAAAACATGTTTGCCTTAAACAACAGAGACAACGATTGACACCTGAGACATCATCTATGTTATTTCCTTTTTTAAATAGTGAATAAGCTCCGGTAATTACATCAATACATCGGTACTACGGTTGTGTTCCTCAATCCAATTCGACAATGATTTGTTAAGTGACTAGTGTGTGCCAGGCACTAGACTAGGTTCTGGCTATACAAAGATTTTTGACCTCAAAGAGCTTACATTTTCCTGGGGGAGGATAGTGGAGAATTAACTGCTCTTAACACCGTCCCCGGCACATAGTAGGTGCTTAGTAAATCCTAGTTGACTGACACGGATAAGTAAATATAAGATATCTGCAAAATAAATACAAATTAATTTCAAGGTGGTGGTGGTGGTGGGGACACACAGCTGGGGATTAGGAGGGGGTAGCACCGAGGATCACAGATCTAAAGCTGGCAGGGGCTTAGAAGTCTTCTAGTCTAAGTGTTGGAGACACCTGGGCTTAACCTTGGAGGGAGCTAGGGACGCTGAGATCATAGGTGAAATGACGACTCCTGCTACAGAGGACCCCAGGTGTAGAGCTAGAAGGGGCTGGTTAATTCAATTCCCTCCTTTCACTGGTGATGAAACCGAAGCCTAATGATCTGTCCCAATTCATATGCAGAGTCGCATTTGAAGTCCTTCAGCTGAGCCTTGAAGGGAGTTTGGGTTGCTCAGAGATAGATGTGAGTGGAGAACATTCTGGGAATGGGACACAGCCTGGCCAAAGACACGGAGGTGGGAGATGTCATTTCACATATGAAGGAAAACATCTAGGCTCGGAACATAAAGGTGTGAGGGGGAGTAAGGGGAAATGAGTGTGGGAAAAATAAACTGGAATCAG